GCTGTCCGCGTCCGTCGGTGACGCCACTTTTTCTTCTATAACACAGAAACGGAGGCGAATCTAGCGAAGTACTGTATATAAACAGATAGCTGCATTCCTTGGTCTCAAGACTCTGCCTTCGTCGAATTTTTAACCCCACTAAATTCGCTGAGTTTTAAGAGAAACTAACACCATGTCGAAACCCACTTCCGTTTTATGTCCGTAAGTGACGGCCTTTTTGCCAAAGGATAAAAGCTAAACGACTCATCGCACAGAGTCGGCTCGAATGCCATTGGAAAGGGCTTAAAAAGTACTTCAAGAACCATCTTAGTTCGGTTCGATTAAAAACCGATTCAAAACCAAAATTCAAAACCAGAAAAAAGCCGCGATTTTTGCGTACGAACGTCCGTAAGTGACGCTTGGAATTGCCCATATCGGAACGTTATCGTTTCGATATCGCGCCTAAACCCTTTCTCGTTAGGAACCTCTGCAGCCGAGAGTGGTTCAGCCGCTCCCGACTTGCAGCCGATCGCGGCCCGGAAGACGGCCGGAAGCCCTCTTTCGGCCTCCCACCGGCTCCTGATCGGCTGGTGTCCGGGCGCGTTTGGCCAGAGATCTCCTAGCGGGCTTGTTCTAGAGATTACGTCCATTTTTCTAAGCTTTATTCGGCAAATTTTTGGAGCTCGGCGCCTGCAAGAATCATGGTAGGCCACCCGCCGTACCCGCGCATGCCCTGAAGGCAAGATGTTGCTACCAATCAGGCGCCATTATGAAGCGCCTGTAGTCAAGCTGCTCGATCCGTGCCCACTCCTTTCCAGCTGAGGGCAAAAACAACCCCCACCCCCTTATAAAATGTTGTCACTCTCATTGTTTTGTGCATGTGCATGTGTGTGTGTGTGTTTGTGTGTATTTTTGTTCCAGTTTGTGTTCTTAAAGTAAAATTAAAGCTACTTTTACCTTTTGCTTTCCGGTGTGATGCTGTGGTGCTTGAGGTGATATGATGGCAGCCCCTTCCTTGAATGCAGCTTCCTTCCAGTCGTGGTGCATCAGCAGGATATATTCTTATTAAAGGCGGTAAATGCATCATAACAGTCCAAATGAATGGTGCAAGTCAAGCCCATCATATATTGTAGTCTCAGTTTTATTTTATTTTTCTTGACTCATTTGTGAGGAAGAAATAAAATACTTTTTTTCTTTAATTGGGTTACAGAATAAATAAGGTTTCTCATAGTTTCAGCAGGATTGGATAAAAAGAAACAAAGTAAAACCATTATGCTCTTTTGTAAAAACAAAATTTGTAGGAAAATTAAGAGCCGCAAGACTGGAGAAGATAAATGTAAGGGATGTAGGGGATGTAAGGGAATTCTGATTTACAGTATTAATTTTTGGTATCTAAACTTTTTTTTTACACTAAATTGCATAAAAAATGACTAGTACAATTGTGAGTCGTTGCTGAGATGCTGAACTATAACAAACTTAGAAATACTGCAGTGACATCAGGAATAGAAGAGTCCAACATACTGCTTGATATAAAGATAATTATTGTTACTCAACTTCCATGGTATTTGTAGGCTTAGAAATGTAAAGTTTATGGTTAATATTCATCACAGTGCAAGCTCCTTTCAGATTGGTTGGACAAACTAATGCATCTGTATTTGTCTTCTTATACTCTGCTACATTAGGTACAAAAACTTGAAAAATTTTCATTAAATAAAATCAATTATGAGACCTGCAGCTAACATAATGATCGGTTAACTGCTCTGGCTAAAAGTGAAACAAAGTAAAAATAAGTGCTTATCTCTATGGTTTAGACCGTGTATGAAACATATCTTTTAAAAAGAAAATTTCCTTAAAACCAAAAAAGAAAAGAACATAGTGATGAGATGGTATGCCTACCACAATTTGTAATTTTCCAAGATTTCGTCATTTTTTTTTACAAGTAACATGTAAAATTTTCACAAGTAGACTGTGGTAACATTTTTACAAGTAAACTAAGGTAAAATTTCGACTTTGTAAACTTTTACAAGACATCTGCAGATGAGTTTTCAAATGATTGGTTACACTAGTATGCATAGGCCAATGACGGTATTGGTGGTTACTAATGAGACAAAAATTTTAAGCAACTTAACAACAGATTTATGTTCTTTTATGACCACACATTAATGTACCATAATAATTAAGTTTTATTACTGCCACTGCGGTCTTCATGCCAACATTGAAACGGTGAGCACCAAAGTGTCTGTGATATCCGTCTTTTTCCTGATCCTGATTATTTCTCCAGAGTAGCTTTGCTTTTAGTTCAAGCAATATGCCCTGTGAAATTAATAGAAAAGAAGTGCTTCAGGACTTGAGATTTTGAACAGTAATTCAGAAATTAATTCCTGATCCCTCTGAGGCGTTCTGGGGATAACGAGTCATTGTAGTTTATTAATTGAAAGTTCAGTAATATATCTTATCATAGAATGTAATTTAAATTCTCTCACCATTTTATTTCAGTATCATTAGAAAAATCTAGTCAACGTAAGAGAATTATATATCTCGTTCTTCTTTTGAACGGCTTATCCTACACTAAGTTGCGACTGTGGCCTAATATTGTTTGGTCCCTTGCAAGTACATTCCTGTTAAGAAAATAAGTTGTAAGTTTAAGAAACCTTTAAGATCTTTTTGTACGATTCAATGACTTCTAAACATTCTTCGAGTGAATACCATTATTTTGTCTTCCAATGAAGTGTCTGGATTTTTTAAAAAGTTATCAAATTAAAAATGTAATTCCAGATTAAGATTCCTCTCGTAAAATTAAAAAGGAAATGTGTTATGCTCAGAGCCGATCAGAGTCGAAATGGAGAAGTTATTAGTCCTCAAATAACGAGGGGCGGATTGCCATGGACAAATTGGTCCAAATTGAACGTTCGAGGGATGCGTTTTGTTCGTCTAGGCGAGATATGATCCTTAAAACCTTCGGGGAAGGCGAGAGAACTGCCGTCAGAATTGACCTCCGACGCACCGTTTGGCCGCTAGGCTAGGGGCGATTAAACACTTTATTGGACATTTGAAAATAACTCTGATTTCACGTCCGAAGAGTTGGCCAACGGCGGTTGGCCAACCGGGGGTCAGCTTTTTCGGATGACGGTATATGTTTTTTTTTTTTTTTCAAAAATTCAGAAAAAAAGGAGAAAAAGCCAACAAAGAAAACCATCGGCTGGAGAACCGAGGACAACAAGCGAACGATCAGTGGTGTAGCATATTTACGTCAAAATTCTCGTTTTGACGAACCGAAAATTACCCGTTTCTTGCTGGTATAATTCATGGCACTCTGCCACCGTGTTCTGGTGCCCCTTGAGTACCTTGAACCGAAACGGCGTGAATTATACCACCAAGGTAACCAAACAGCGGCGTAGCAAAGGTCGTTGTTTTTCCCGAAAAAAATGTCGATTTACCGTCTCGGAAAGTACCCGTTCCTTGGTGGTATAATTCTTGGCACTCAGGCACCGTGTTCTAGTACCCCTAGAGTACGTTGGACCGGAACGGCGTGAATTATACCACCAAGGTAGCCGATCAGTGGCGTAGCAAAGAAAGACGATATTATCGTCAATATTCTTCATTTAATGTCCCGGAAAACACCCGTTCCTAGGTGGTATAATTCATGGCACTCTGACACCGTGTTCTGGTACCCCTAGAGTACCTTGGACCGGAACGGCGTGAATTATACCACCAAGGTAACCGAGCAGCGGCGTAGCAAAGGTCGTTAATTATTCCGAAAAAAATGTCGATTTAACGTCTCGGAAAGTACCCGTTCCTAGGTGGTATAATTCATGGCACTATGGCACAGTGTTCTGGTACCCCTAGAGTACCTTGGACCGGAACGGCGTGAGTTATACCACCAAGGTAACCGAGCAGCGGCCTAGCAAAGGTCGTTAATTATTCCGAAAAAAATATCGATTTAACGTCTCGGAAGGTACCCGTTCCTTGGTGGAATAATTCTTGGCACTCTGGCACCGTCTTCTGGTACCCCTAGAGTACCTTGGACCGGAACGGCGTGAATTATACCAGCAAGGTAACTGAGCAGCGGCGTAGCAAAGGTCGTTGTTTCTTCCGAAAAAAATATCGATTTAACGTCTCGGAAGGTACCCGTTCCTTGGTGGTATAATACTTGGCACTCTGGCACCGTGTTCTGGTACCCCTAGAGTACCCTGGACCGGAACGGCGTGAATTATACCACCAAGGTGAACGAGCAGTGGCGTAGCAAAGAAAGACGATATTT